TGTGTGTATCATGAATGTGTCAGATCTGAATAGGCAGAAGACCAGATTGTTAAAGAAAACTGTCTGAATGATCATATTTGAAGGATCTCTTTATGTTGTGTACAGGAACAGAAAGAGCCTGACGTTACTCACATCCATCGGAGTCCTGAGCCTGGAGCCCATCTGCTCTGTGGACGTGCACCTGTGTGACCAGCTTTGGATACCCACAGCACCCTGTCCAACAGGTCTGGGGCGGCTCGTCTAATGTCAGCTCCCTAAACACCACACAACCTTCATCAATACACTCAGCATCCATACTGCAAACAGTAAAGACTACTGTAAATACACATTTCTGATGTATTACTTGCAGGCGGCAGGCACATCTGTGAAGATGCGCAACAGGAAGTCTCCCTGCAGGTCGGGGTCAAAGGTCGTGGGAATGATGACGTAGCGGCCCTCCTTCAGGTCCTTGCGTAGAAACACGCTGCGGGAGTTAATGTAGATGGAGCTGCCCACTGTTTTCTGGATGGTGTGCATGCGGTACGTCCGGTTGAGCTCCACCTATCAGAAAACACATCTCGACCAATCAATTAATATCATATTTGATCAATGAAATCCAATATTTGTTTCTTACTCCAAAAATAGTGTCTGTTTTGCTTAAACATGTCACACTTACTCATAAAATATGTGCATTTCGTTGCATTTTTGCTTTCAATAATTATTTTTAAGGTGAAGAAGTTTTTGTATTATCAGCAGAAAAACACCACACACACATGATTCCTGCCTGAATCTGAATCATCTGCTCAATTGATTCTCAGCCCATTTTCACATGTATGACTGCTTCTGAACACATTATTTGAGATGTTAACAGATATATATATATATACACAGGTCGCACATCACGGTAAACAATGACAGAACTCATTATGTTTCAGTGTTTCTGCAGGTTTGATGAAAGTAATGTAAAGTAAAGATTTTTAAAGACCTTTTTAAGACCAAATCAAGAAAATGTAAGGAATAAATCGAAGGGAACACAACAAGCCTATATGATCTCTAAATGTTAATGTCTAGGAAGCAAAATGAGTAGAAAGTTTGAAAACTTTACTTTTAGACAAAAAAGTGAGTTTAAAGGGGTCATATGATGCTTTTTTAAAGATCATTAT